AAAAAAAAAAAGTATGTTTTATTTCTTCTGTGCAACACAAAAGGCGATATTTTGAAGAATGTTTCTGATTTTGAATGCACAATTAAAGTCAGTAGGGTCCAAACAAAAATTTTTGGACCCCATTTACTTTCATTGTATGGAAAAAAACTCAAAGTGCGTTTTATAAGTCATACAGGCTATGGAAGAGCATGACGGTGAGTAAATTTAATTTTCGGGTGAACTATCCCCTTAAATTAATCTGGTTTGATCCTATCCCAGGTGCATTTTGACAATTTTTTAAAAAAGCACTCACCGAGTTATCCATGCTGTATTCCCTTTATAGAGGAGTCATTGTTGAAACAGATTCAGATTCAACTAAATAAGCCATTGTACAATGAATGATTGCAGAGGAGAAACATCTGGCAACAGCAGGCCGCTGGAGTGTTTGTCTACAGATGTGGAACAGTTCCAGCTCAGATTTACAACAAAGACTACATGCAATAGGTGGCGTAATGGCCTGGATCAAAGCCCCAAATTGAGGAGCTAAAGATCGCGAATCAGATTAACGACTCTCGCACAATACCGACAGCTGTTCGTAACGCTGAGAGCTAAAGATATTCCCTCAGATTAACAGCGATGACAATGCCAGCAGCTGCTGCTAGAGCGGATAATAACAATAGACGGGCGAGTGGACTAAGAAGATGGAGAAAAACATGTGCTATCATGACAAAGGGGTTGACAGACTCAGACGCTTTACATCCCACAATCCCTGAGGATCAAACGGGCTTTGTATCAACGCGCTGCTCTTACGAGAGGGCTCCAAAACTAATCTTGCCGCTGCTGCCATTGCTTTTCACTGAGCAAATCCTGACTGTGATAGTGTTGTTAACAGGCCTGCTGTCTGTGAAACAAAAATGATGGAGTGAACGCCATTGTCAGTTCTCAAAGCAGGAACAAATCGGCCTCAATGTTAGTGTTCAGTTAAGCACTGGCGACAATGGGAAGCTGCCTGTGTGGTCTCTGTTGATAGAATTACTGTTGTTATCAATAGCTCAGTCAATTTATGTTTTACTCGCATTACTGTACAGTATATCCGAAGCATTACAAACACAATACATGTAGACCAAGTCTTTTCATTTCTATGACATTATAGGATTAGCTTGTTTTCTTTATTGTCTTCTACACTATAATACGGATTCTTAAAAGTTGTAAATAAAACCATGATTATTGGAGTACATTCTACTTCAAAAATGTCATGTTTAATTCATTGTGTTACTTGCCGTTTCTTTAATAGCAGTTTCTGAGAGAAAATAGTTTCAAAGGAATTTCTTTCAGCGATTTACGTAAATTGCTAGTAAATTTCACAAATAATTACGAAGAAACAGCAAGTAAACAATACATTAAAATGTATCTTTAAAAATATTTTTTACAGTGTAAATATGCACACACACACACACACACACACTCTCTCACGCTCTCTCTCACACACACACACACTCTCTCTCTCTCTCTCTCTCTCACACACACACACACACACACACTCTCTTCTATCATGCTGGAGACTTTCCATTGACTTCTATTGTTTTTATGCTGAGCTCATGATATTTTCTATCCCAAAACCTAACCCTCACCGAAAACTTTTCGCGTTATTAAGACATCATTTTGTATGCTAATTAAGTCATTTCCTTGATTTAGGTGGTTTCAGGTTTAACTGTATTCGAGGGGACATTTGGTTCACACTAAGTTGGCAACATCTAACCCAAACACACTAGAATATGAGACAAACGCCATTTTCTCCTGACACTCCACATGCATCGTATTCATGACTGCACACCAGGAATCATGTGCTTGACCTTCAGTTCCTAATGACATTACCTTTGGGGTCAGAGATCATCAGAGACAGGTCTATGGGGTGTCAGTAACGTTGTGCAGTGGGTCATTAATTATGATCATGCATGCTTCCTACCAGCATCGTAGTAAAGCTCAATTTCAAAACATTTGATTTTTTTTTTTTTCTGCTGTTTGTGTATTTTTGACTCCAGAGAAGCCTGAAGTCATTTGTATTGCCGTCTGTAAAGGGCAAGTTTTTTATTTGTTAAAGATTAATCATTCTGTCTTAAATCAGCGTACCTTTCAAACTCAGATAGGTAGAGTAAAACTGGATGATAAAAAATGCTATAAATGTGACTATTTAAAGTATTGTTATAAATCTAATAATGCAATGAATGTGGCATGTGTCTCTGCGCCACAAAAAAAATGGCCAACAGATGGCAGCAGTG